CAATGGAGGTGGTTACTTCGTGAAGAACAATTGAAATTGTCCTATACCTAATTCGTTAGGTGGTCTACCTAATCGGTATGCCGAAAGGACCACCTTCCCTATCCCGTCGTTTTCATCGACATCATCGCTCTCTGATACACACGTCAACACCCTCACACATCCATATACGAAGCGTAGATGATTCACGCTAACAGTTCGTGTCCATTACACTCTCTCCTTCATTCCTCTACTACCTTCGACATGAACAGGTGACTCGTCCCAGAACACGCCAATCATGAGTGCGAACATTATGGGAGAAGGGGTGGAAGTAAGACAGTGATGAGGTGGACAATGTGGAGAAGACGATGAAATATCGCCTTTCTATACCATTCACACACTGCTCCTCCATTGGTTTCCCATATGATCTCCAAATTCTCCAAACTTGTTCCGACATTCCTATGTGTGTTGCAGATGAACACACACACACACACACACACATATTCCATTTTCAGTGTTGACAGTCGACCGTTTGAATCGATATAACAAGCCGGTTAAGCACTGCCACTTCCTTCATTCTGTACTCTTTCTGTGCACATTCATCAGTGACATAAAGGTCGAGTGAAGACTCTCTATTTATTACAATCGCTGTATGGTTAGTTAGATAGTTAGTCAGTTAGTAATCTGATGATTTCTTTATCCCAGTGATTGGTGGCCAGTGGGAATTCTTTGTGGTATTCTCAACACAGAAGTAAAACAGATCAAATTAATGGTTGCATATGGAATCTGAAAGAATTTCTTTAACCGACAATTGACAGAATGTTACGGTTAACACGGAAACACTTGGGGAACAGTTACTGAAGAGTGTTCAGTCCATTGGCTTTGTGGATGGAAATGTGGAGAGACACAAATCCATTATATGCTTCAATGTGTAGGGCCAGTGGAAATTATTTAGAATTATTGTTTCAAATGAAATCTTCATTTCAGTTGCCTCGAAATTCCGTGGGAGACCGATGATTGTGAGAACCCTCTCTTCCGCTTCGAGTTCTATCCCATGGACCCATGCATACAACCACTACCAGGGATGTTCTATTCGCTACCTTCTTGTGGTGGGGGTGTTGTTTACGAGATTGATTGGACTATCAGCAAATGTCCGGCGCTTTAACCGTGTTAGTGGTTATGAAAGAGTCACCTAGATGAGTTGAAAAACCCTGGTTCCAAACCAATGGTGCACATAGGCTCCAGTATCCTGAAGGAACAACTGGCATATGAACCAGCTCATTGGTCACCGGCTACCATGGGACTGTATCTCCTGACGTTGCTCCACTACCTTCTGGATCAGACCTTTAGGTTGAAGGTTCTGGGTACGGTCCCCTAAAAAAACCCACCTGCTACGGTTTCAGCACACAGGCAGTATCACAGTCCACACAGAAATCAAGTGACTTGTGTGGTGTATATGTATTCAGTGTTCTTTTGTACGAATATTAATGCGTTCAAATAAATAAATAAATCATTTCAATCGATTTAACCATTGTTTGATAAATTGAATAAATATATAGAAACTTATTATTAAGGAGACTATCTGTATATCTTATTGAATAATTTCCAAATCCGAAAATCATTCAATGTATTGCTCTTGATCATTGAACATTTTATTCATTTTCTTTTTCCATACTTATTTTATCATGAATGTTACCATGATATAATTGATTTATGAAAAATCTTATCCAAACAAAAAAAGTTAAAGTCATTTCAGGGTTGTGGAGATTGTTAAGTTTTTTTATTGAGATCATGAACCGATTGATGTTAGACCACCATTGAAAACCCGGAAGTACTGAACGGCCGTTTCGTCCTACTGTGGGACTCCTCAGCAGTGCGCATCCACGACCCCGCTCGCGGGATTCGAACCTGAGGCCTTCAGTCTCGCGAGCGAACGCCTAACCTACTGGGTCCCTAACAGGGAAGTCCTACTCACTACCTTCTCGTGGTGGGGGTGTTGGTTATGAAATTGAGTGGACTATCAACGAAAGTCTAACATCAATCGGTTCATGATCTCAATAAAAAAAACTTAACGATCTCCACAACCCCTAAACTGATAATTACCATGTGCTCACTAGTGGCTAGCTTCGTGAGAAAATTTCCGGAGTTCTGATGAGAAGCCTTGACCAGTGGAGCTAATCCGTGTCGGGTAGAAACAAGTGTCTACCACAGTACAATGGAAGATGGTCGCACAACTTTGTGGATTGGTTAAGATTAGACATTAACACCATTGGATGCCGGCTCAGTTGTCCAGTAGGTTAAGCGTTCGCGCGCGAAACTGAAGGCCTTGGGTCCGAATCCCGCGAACAGGATCGTAGATGCGCACTATTGAGGAGTCCCACAATAGGACGAAATGGCCGTACAGTGCTTCCGAGTTTTCATTGGTGGTCCGACATCAATCGGTTCATGATCTCAATCAAAAAAAATTTAAATGTTTAACTCATTAATATTCCTAAAAAAAAACATTTTTCCAAAAAACCTCTTTTTGTTTTTTGATGTTTACAATGAATTTCAATTAAATTTATTTAGAACTATCATGTTTTTCGTGTTGCTGTTGTTGGAATTAGTGTTTGCTAAAAAAGTGTTTCTCTTTATAATCTAAATGACGTTTATATTGCTGTTACGTAATTCGGCTCAATAAAGTATATATATATATATATATATATATATATATATATATATATATATATATATATGATTTTGTCTAAGAAAGTGAATAACTGATATTATATTATTGTATAACAATTTTTAATGAGATTCATTTAATAAATTGCATAATTATTTATGTCATGTTTATTTATCACATTGTGCTAAATAGTTGATTATATACATTTGAATTGAATTAAATTCTCAAATAATACACATATCAACTCAATATTAATGAAATAATCATAATTAAATTATTGAATATTCAATTATAAATATAAAACGTTTAAAACACGAAAATAGAAACAATTGAAGAATGACTTCTAAAGAAAAGAATTCAAATATACTTCAATTACATTATAATGATGATTATATTGAACAATCAATTCAATATCAACAATCTAATAGTCAATCAATTAATGTAGATCAATTATATGTAAATATTGTAGGTGCATGTAGTATTTGGCAATGGTTTACAGCAATATTAGTAATGTTTAGTAATCCATCTACTCCAACATTTCCTGTATTTGCTAATTCAATACCACAACAACGTTGTCGTTTATCTAATAATATAGAAAATATAATACATTTAAAGAATTTATCATTAGAACAAGTTGGTATTATAATTGGTCCATGGAAAAATAAAACTGATACAAATTATACACAAATGAATGGATGTTATCAATATAAATTGAATTGGACAGAAAATTTATTTGAAGAAGTAATTCATACTTATGATAAAGGATCATTTCAATCAAAATTTATTCATTATCAAATAATTCCATGTGAAAATGGATATGTATATGAATTAAATGAATTACAATATCCTGGAAGTGTTGTAATTGAATTTGATACAGTTTGTCAACATAATTGGCTTGTACCATTAGGTTCATCAATTTATTTTGTTGGAATGATGATTGGATTTATATTTGGTGGTTGGGCTGGTGATCAATTTGGTCGAAAAAATTCATCAATAATTTTAGCAATAATTGAGTTTATATTTAGTATTTGTACATCATTGTCACCTAATTACATTGTTTATATATTGTCTAGAGCAATTGTTGCTATAGCAAATATAGGCAAAGTTACAGTTTTAAATGTGTTAGTAATGGAGATGACTATAGCTAAATATCGTTCATATATTGGTGCTGTAATGGCATTGGGATACAATTTTCTATTGAGAGCATTAATATCATTAGAAGCATATTTCATACCGAATTGGAGATGGTTAAATTTGTCTGTAATGGCACCTAATTTATTGTGTATTTTATATTTTTGGTGTTTAGTTGAATCACCAAGATGGTTATTATCTAAAGGTCGACGTATTGATGCACTAAAATCATTAAAGTTTGCCTATAGAGCTAATCATTTTCATATGAGAAAAAGCATGAAATCCACATATATACTTGATGGAATGATTCAACAAGAAGAAGAACTACAAAAAAATAAACAAGAATATGAATGTACTCCACAAAGCCATTCAGTTATAACCAATATTCAAAAAATAAATCAAAATAATCAAATTTATCCGAATAACAATGAAGATTTTTTATGAAAATTTTAAAGTCACTTTTTCTACCATTTTCTACTAGACAATTGGCTAAAACTACTATTCTTGGAGTAATTTTATTCAGTGGTGAAGTAATGACATTCTTTGGTTTACTACTTTATGCTCGTGCTGTACGTGGAAGTGTTTATTTAGTTAGCTTTATCAATGCATGCACTAGTATACCGGCTTTGTTTTTATCAACAATATTATATCGTGTTATACGTCATCGTAAACCTCCATTATTTTTTGTTTATATTGTAGCGTCTATCATTTTATTATCATGTGGTTTATACACTTATATATTTAATCCAGAAGGTGATTTAATCCTTGCTATCGGATCAAATTTATCACTTATATTTCTTGCTGCTGGTTTATTTATGCTTTATATATATATACCTGAATTATATCCATCTGTTATACGATCTCAAGGATTTGGAACTGTGGCTGGATTAGGTCGAACTGGTAGTATAATCTGTACGTTTATTAATCAATTAGATATATCCATTGGACATGGTGTACCGTTAATAATTTATTCAGTTGTAATTTTTATGCAATTAATTTTATTATATGTTATACCAGATACAAGTGGTGAGAATTTACCTGATATGATAGTAGAAAAATTGCAACCAAATATGGAAAATGTAAACAATATCAACGATTCAGTATTTCCAATATCGGAAGCAGTGGAAATTACAAGAATCTGAGTGATTTTTATTTATTTATTAGACATATTTGTATTTCAGCTTATACTTTTACTCATCTCTATATTATTCACTTTCATAATTGTATAATGTGATTAGTAGTATAGATGGAAATACAGAATATTAAGAAACATATAAATAACTGCAAATACATTCTTGAATATCTAGTTTTGTCCTTTTAATGAATAAACTTGTAAAACGAGAAGATAATCTGTTTTGTTATTTTCTGTTTGGTGATTGAACTTAAAAAAAAAAACACAATGAAATTTTCTTATAGGATGACTGTGGTAGATCATAGTAGATGACATTCTGTACCTCAGTTAGCAACAATTATAGATAAATTTGTAAAGTATGAAATTATACTGAAACACCAGTTGCTTAAACATGAGACATCATTTAGATATGATCAAATAACTTGAACCGGTTTACATCAATAACTTATGTTTTAAAAATTCCAGTCTATAGGAGGCTAGGATAATCAAGTATAGGAAATATATTTCTTTTATCAATATAACACTAAATCTATTGGATAAGACCTAATACTTCAAACGTTTGACTATAACACAGGTTGACATATTTTTGTTAATGTTAAAAAAGGTTGTTAACAAGTCAACTGATGACGAAACCTATTTCATATTTTTTTTCTTTAAAGAAATATAGAAGTAAATTAGTACGGAGCAAGAAGAGATACTTAACTGATAAATATGCGTTAGCTGCTAGAATGAATAATAAGACTACTGTTATGTAAGAAAACAACGACCTTATCAATATGGCTTGATAAATTGAACTTTAATAATTAAACTGTAATAGATTTCTTTGTGTGGTTAATATCCATACGTGACTAACTTCAATGCATCTATAGAATAATGTTTGTAATGAGTATCATAATCCACGGTAATTCTATAGTTACATGATTTAAAAAATTTCTTTACATTTCGTGTTAAACTTAAGCCTACATTTGTCATTACATATATAAGATAGTACAAAGGTCAAGTTAATTGTTAATATGTTGGAAAGTGAACTGATGTTGAACTTTTTTTAAATTTAGGTTGTAGGTAATATTGGATGATCTAATTCCAATAGTTCTTGAACCAAGTCTGTTTTGAAGATCTATGGAACCCAGAATTATTTTTGTTGTTGTTGATCTTTATCATAATTTAAAAATAAATTTGATAAGAATTTTCGATAAGATCTGTAAACGTAGCAAATGAGTTCACAAAATCATTAGAAAATTTTTCAAAAAAAAAAACGGAATCATATACCGAGTGCTTAGATTTACCTAATTACGATAAAAACTTGAAACCTTCCAGTCACTCTTAGTTTTACTGTTATAGTCCATTTCCCCGAAACGACAAAAGGTGATTTGTCAGATTTGTTCTTTTTCGTGTATATCAATAAACTCAAAAAGGTGACAGGATTGTAAAATGGAAACACTTTTATATAATGGGAGTATAATGAATGTATATACCCTGATCCGTATTTGTAAAATGCGTTACATAATATTGAGTAAGTTAGGAACTATGCTATTCAGTCTGTAGTTCAATTGTAATTAAGTAGAATGCCCTTAGTTGATAGACAAAGTGAAACTGACAAACTTTAAATGTTCGCCATTCCCTTACTTGCTTACTGTTGGTTTCTAAGGTAATTATCACAAAATCGATCTCTGATATCTAAGTTTTTATTTTCCAGTTAATGATATTTGGGACCTTAATTGTTTGGTCTCTGTTGATATATGTGCTTCCTGAGTGGATGCCTTATTACCATCTTTTAATTACAAGGTCTCAGTATATTTGGATTGTTACCTGGAATGGAATCCAGGGACAATGTTTCTTCCTATTCAGGACGGTGGCCTCTCCGACAGCGGGGAGCAATAGTCAAGATGCAGGTCGACCCCAGGAAAGCACGCTGTTATAAAGGGGAGGGGTGTTGGGGACGATAGATCCCCAAAACTCATATTTTGTAATTTTATCTTATCGATTAACTTATCGAATAAATGTTTAAATATTTGAATGGTAGTCAACTGATGAACTTATCGATTAAATGTCTAAATAATTGAATGGCAGTCAGTTGATGAACTTATCGATTAAATGTTTAAATAACAGTCAATTGACGAACTTATCGATTAAATGTTTAAATATTTGAATGGCAGTCGACTGACGAACTTACTGATTAATGCTAAAAAATTTCCATGACCATATCGATTATAAATATTTGTATAAATACGCTCGATTTGTGTGCCTGACTGACCTAGTATCTGTTGGTTGCCTGTAGAATACACTTCTACGTCTTACCAAGACTTCTTGATCGAGTTAGCTGAGTCGGGGACAACGAACCAGAATAGACTATCGAGTATCTGAATCGTTGATCCTTCGTTCCGTTCCGACTAAGCCGAATCAGTAGTAGCATTCAAGATTAACGAACCTAACACTCTGTATTTCACTGTTATCTACACCGCACACATATTGAAAACTTGCAATCAAAAAAACGGCACCGAGATGTTCACTTATGAAACGCACAACGCAATAGAAATTGATCAGTTGAAGATTTTAGTGCCAATAAATTGGTGACTGTCTGCATTGCATGTTCATTTTTCCTACAGTTCATAATAAAAGAAAATATGAGGACTTTATAATGAATTCTAATAAGATCTACCTTTAGACCTAATGCAATCAAATGCCACCATTCCATCAAACTGAAATGTGGTTGAAGTTTAGAGCTAAATATGTTTATCAATTTGAATTTACTAATCGTAACGTTACATTCTCACCATAAAAATAAGGATATTGAATCCATTAATTTAGAGAATCAAGAATAATAATAAAAATTGTACAAAGAAACGGTCTTTGAGTATTTTCTGTCTCTCATTATTCCTTGAAGTACTTCTTAAACCTCCTTCACAAATCATCATTATGATTATATCAAATAATCGTTTCTATGCAATTACTTCATTAGTTAATTTCTCGTTATTTTTGTTATATAATACTCATTAGGAATCGTCATCTATTTTCTTAAGCTAGTTTCATATTCTATTATGTTAATCTTGTAATAAATCACAATATTAATTATAAGTTATAATAATTTTATTTATTCCATTTCTAATATTTTGACTAAACTTTAATCATTCGTAGTCGACATTGGAATATTCTGTACAAATCACTTCGACACAGTCATTATATCATATATGTATATATGGTTACCTACATTCCACATATTTATGTACCATTCCATTGAAAATACTTATAGAGTCAATTACTTCAGGAGAAAACCAAAAGAAAAAAGAAAAGAAACATCTTGAAATTATAGAAATAAGAACATAAAATTATTTATATAAATAAATACAGATCCATAAAAATGTGCATATATGAATTGATTTTATAATTATTTATCACGATAATGGATCTCACCATCATCATCATCATCATCACATCATCATCATCAAGGAAGAAGCAACAAAAAAAAGAGAAAGAAAGAATAAATAGAAGTAAGAGTGAAGGATAACAATATGAAGTGTAACAGATGAGACCAATTTGAAACAAACAAACGGACGAACAAAATTAAAGAATAACCAAGTAATGAAGGCCTATTTGGTGAGAGATAATGTATATTCTCTGTTTGTATTGTATTGTAATCCATTTCAAATATATATATATATATATATATATATATATATATATTCATCATAAAATGAAAACAAAATGTCAACTTTTAAAATAACATTTTCTTTCTATAAGTTAAACTGTTATGATTTTTATCTTTTTTTTTCTGGGAAAAAAAAATTTATTTTACATATTTTTAATTATACAAAACTTGTTGGAAATTTTGTATAAATATTTTGTGGTGATATAAATTGTTCATCTGATTGAGTATGAATTAATTGAGCATAACCAAGTGGATCTACTGGACTAAATAATATCATTGTACCTTCAGTAGATTGAGATATATCATTATGAGATTGTTCTTTAGAATTATCGTTATTATTATTAGTAGTAGGATTAGTAATAGTAGTATTATTATTTTCTAAAGATGAACTTAAAAATTTAGATTTTTCATTTGTATTATCATTCATATTGACAGTAGTAGTAAAACATTCTGGACTTGACGCAGGAGCACATGCAGAAGTGACAGTTTTAGAAATGTGATTTTGTCCAGTATTACAGGTTGAATGTGTATCTAACCATGAAACAGATAAACGATTCTTAGGTTGTTGTTGTTCGACATTATATTTAAGACAACATTTTGCATCAACTGTTTTTAATAGATCATTAGATGATTTTGCAGAATTTAATTTAGTTGAGAAATGTGTAGGTAGTATACTATCTTCATCTTCAATGTTATCATTATTTACTGGGATAGAACATAGTGGTAATGTTCCACTTCGTCTACGATATGCCATGACTTTCAACGTAAGATCATCCTGTTCAGTGGGTAATAATTCTGGGCTTCTTGATGATAGAGCACTTTTTAATTGTTCAACATTAAGAGAACAATAACAGGCTGGAGCTATTCAAAAGAAGAAAAAGGAGAAATATTCTTTATTTATATGACGGAAAAATACTGTGATGTAAAGTCCAAGTTTATCACTACTCCATAAAATCAAGTGTAATATGAAAATCTACTATTTGATAGTAATTTAGATGGAGTTGAATGGTTTGTGAACATTAACTGAATTACTTATTAACCAAGAGCCTTTCTCATTAGGAATAATTTTACACTTTATAATTTACAGTATTTTCATATTTCAATTAAACAATACATGAATAGATAAGACAGTAATGTTTTCTATCAATATTATGTAATGTTTAATATATGGTAATGAATAAGGCTCTTGTTTTCTAAGGTCCATTTTATTATACTTTCAATGAAATTTAATTTATCATAATCTTATAGACCTAGAAAATTCATTCAGATGGTATTAAACATACACCAGCTTCCATACTTTGCACAGTAGCACTGAAGACTATAAATAATTGTATTATGGCTTTGGGGAATAGTTTCACACTTACTGGAATGTTGAGGAAAGTAATGAATCAAACTGTATACAACTCGATAACTCAATCAGTAAGCTACAGTTTTTTAAACTAAATTAAAAAAGTTGTTTAACTTTCGATTGATGATACATACTACTTATATCTATCGACATCCATAGCACACCACTATATATACTTGTAATTTAGTACGATGTCGCCGTAATGTTAAACTTTATGAATTACTTAGATGAAAAACACCAATATTCATTAAAAATAAAATATATTTGTAGTTAGCGACGTCGAATATAATGTTTTCATCTAATTTACTTCTAAGACATAATATATGAGGATCAGTACTCAATTCATATTTCCTTATCTTCATATTTTTTAATCCAAATGTACTTATCAGGATAAATATACAGTAAGGAGACTGAAGTAAGAGCTTTCGAAAGGATTTCGTTCTTGTTCTTTAAAAGTTAGGTTTGAAGCACAGGGCGACACTAGTTAAAAATATAATGAACTATGAGGACCTAGGGAATACTTTTATGATGTTCAGCATATTGAAAATTGTATATCAGAGAAACCATTAGTTTGTAAATTTTATGATCTGAATTTCGTATGTACAAAGAACCTCAAATATCTTTCGACCAACCAACTTTCAGTAAAGTAAGTTCTTTTTAATCATTTCATTTGCATTGATACTCGCTTGTTATTAATAATTTCTGCTACATCACCCTTCACTACATTTTTTCGAAGCAAACACACACTAATTTCAAGGATTTATTTATTCACCGTTTTTCATTTCAACGGTCAAAATATGTCAGCCATTTGTTTCCAATCGTAATATTCATTTCAGCTGAAGGTTGAGTGTAATCACTGGGGTACAGTAAAATAAAATAAATTTGACTTATTCTGTAAATCACATTATTTTTTATCCAAGTTTAAGATTATTAAAAGATCTACATGAAGAAATAATTTATATGGGCTTGTATTGCCTTAAAATTATTACTTAAAGTGAAAAAAATACACATTAGAACGTAATACTTTCTAAATTAACAACTAATCAAGACAAAAAGACCTGCAAGATAAACGCATATGTATAAAATAAAGCAAAAACAAACATGGATGCAGAATAATGTGAGTTTATTATATTTCGTGGTTTCTCAACAGCTGCTTACAACCAAATATACATTAAAACCTTATCTTGAGGTAAGATTTAGTGTGAAACAATGGAAACTGAATCGGAATGACAAAGGTTATCAATAGTGACTATATATATATATATATATATATATATATATATATATATATATATGCAAGGACAGGTCGGAGGTCATTAAGTGTCAGAATAAAAAAAACATGAGTGATGGGTGATGTACTAATTGAGTGAAGTTCAGAGACGGATATGATAAATTGTGTGATAATTTTAGAAATAATGGAGGGTTTACACAAGATTCCTGGAATTAAAATCTGGTAAGATGGGTTGCCTAACAATTGAACAGGATGTAGATAGTTTACATAATTTAAGAGAATCGGGTGAATGAAAATGTATGAGTGAAAGGGTAGTTTTAATGTACATAAAATAAGAATTCGGTAATGGAAGAGCAATATAGCAAAATAAACATTAACAAAATAAAACCAATGACCAAAAATGAATTACAATGGTAGTAATAGGTTTATTACTGTCTCATCTTGGATGCAGAGGTCGGGTTTGAGTATTGTTTAACTCAACTGCTTCAGTGAACCAAAGAGAAGCAGTATTTCTTTGTCTGATAATAATTTTGAAAGTTCGAGGAATGTCAGTGATATGCCCGGTGTCAAGTAAATGTCGAGCTATTGTACTGTTAAAAGTCTTTGTCCCTCGCAATCTCAATTTCTTTGGAACATGCTCGGAAATGCGAACATGTAATCTTCTATCAGTTCTTCCAATGTATGTACTTTGGTACGCACAAAATAAATTAGCAAGTGCAGTTGAAGCTACTGAGAAAAGAGGACCTGTCAATTCTGGTTTGTTCAAGCGAATGGTTCATTTCCCATAACGTCAGCAGTTCTGCTGACGAACAAGTCACTTTCAACGTAGAATTTATTCTGTGATTAATCATTCCGATGATTTCATCTCCCTTGAGGCGCAAGTATAAGAATCAGGTTTTCTTTTCAAACTGACTTCATTTACCTACATTTATATGCGTGGGATAACTAGGAATTTTTTCCTTCCCATAACTGTTAAAATCAACTAGCTACTGAACAACTATTATAGTCAATAAAACAAGTGGTAATTGACAAATTGACAACACATTGAAGTATTAAGAAATATGATATTTACGAATTCTAAACATTACTGAATATATAAAGAATGATTGTATATTTTCTTTTAGGTTTCTTTCCTTTCGAAATTAGGATAAAAGTATTCTTCCTCTTTGTCTCTTTCACTCTTTTTGTCAATATACGCACTCATCCATTAACTAAATAAATGCATATTAACTTTATATAAACAATGAATTACTGTCTTATTTCATGCTAAAATCTTACTTCATTGATAGATTAAACATTTTACATTACAAACTGCATAAGTTTACTGTAAATGGATCTTCTACTCGACTACTTCAATTTTTAGCGTTTAATTTGTCTTCTTTTTCTTTTTAATAGTTGAGATCATGAATCACTTGAAGCAAGGCCACCATGGAAAGCCTGGAAGCACTAGACAGCCGTTTCGTCATTTCAAGACCGATAGGTCCTGGGTTCGAATCTCGCGAGGCGGGATCATAGATGCGCACTGCTGAGGAGTTCCAAGATAGGAAGAAACGGCCATCCAGTGCTTCAAGGTTGAAACAGACACCATCAAAATTGTTACACAACCATTCTATTCATATTCAATAACTGTTGAGATATAACTAGTCTCATAGCATGTTATTTTAGAATGAGGTTCCAAATATCAATATTGATTTGAGCAATAGATATAATCTATGGATAAATACATGGGTGATGTACACTCAAAATCAGTACTGAATTATGGCTACCTTCATGATAATAAACTAACAACTTTGAAATCTGAAATGAATCTTACTAGTCGGCACAATGTAAATCATGGTCAACAAACGCCGAACAGCACCAATTAAACAGAAATTATGTGTTCATTTAAAATGTAGATGCGCATAGCGGGATCTTTAAAAACAGGCAAAATTTTTTTAACAGAATCATTTTTAATAGCTTATATTAAAAGATCGAATAATTTATCAACTTCAGGAAAGGTTATTGTGAAATACTAGTCACCCTAGTATGAACAACTTACAAGGCAGCTGAGTCACAATATTAAATTGCATAATCTCAGTTTCAAAACTGATACAATATATACTTGGCTTGATGGTAAGTTATTTGGTAAGAATGGATCATTTCATTTGTTTTTCTGTAGTATACATGATGAGTGTGTACTACCAGGAGGTTGTGAAATAATATGTAAAGTGTTTCTATTGACAAATAGGATCTGATCGTCATTCATATCTTCATATCAGTTTTGCATTTATATCTCTTATGCTTACAGTGTACCTAGTTTCCACTTCACATTTACTTGATTACAACAATAAGGACGAAGACATAAAATATTTTATTGATTAGACTTTAGAATAGTCTAACTATGTTGTAGACTGCGTAAACAAAAACGACTAGGTCATATAGGAGTTATATCTAAGAGTACAACATATTATTACTATCTGACCTTTCAATTTGGATAAAATTTAATATGTTGTGCAATCATCAGTCAATTTTTGTTGATGCTAAACACTTTTCAATCAACTAATAATTTAACTTATGTGGTTATTAAGGTTTATTGGCGATATGTACCAGAAAATCAAGAAAAGCCTAGTGGGATCCTGATTATTTTCGTGGGAACCTATTTAAACATGGCATTAGAAGAGTTTCGGAAAGAAGAAAGACATCATTTTGTCTACATTCATATACTTATATGGTTCAACTTACATTAAGAGTGAAGCAAGGTATCCTTATAAGTTACTTGAAATAATGCAACAAAGTACTAAGTCCTCAAAGAATGAATTATTCATTTCAGTTAGGTATATTATCGAGTGATAAAAGTATTGTTTCCAACTGCGTATGAATGTGTTGTTTTTGAAATGTGGTCACAGATTACTTTTGAACAAAACTTTCTAACGTTGATTCAGTAGATGCCTATTTATAAAGTAACAAACAGAAAGTACACGGGTAAAATGTTTTCACCGATTTACATTGGCCACTCTCTAAACAATTATTTAGAATTAGTTATTTTTAAGCTTCTAGTGTTAATTAGAACAAAATCACTGTTCAATAATTTTAAAAAGACCATTTTTACTAATGTCATCTTTAGAAATTACCCATATGGACTAGTTGATTATTAACATGGATCTACACGTTAAATAGATTTAAAAACACAATATTACCAGTAAAACGACTGGTGGGTGTTAATTTAACATAAAGACTTTATTTTACCATTTTGTGTTGACAATGTGGTAGTAGTAATAGTAGCAGTTGTTGTTGTTGTATTAATATAATCTGTCAGTTATTACATATTTGTGGTGGATTCTAGTATGTTCACACTATATATAACAATAGATATAGTATAACCTTTGTGATATTCACCGATAAACATTTTCTTACAATTTAGTATGCAAATTTTGTTTTATTTTAATGTATGTATATGGTAATATTGTTTGTAAATCACTCTGACGTCAAATCTGTTTTAAATATCAAATTATGACATAATAAAGATTTGGTTATCTCTTGAGCTAAATAAGAATGGTTTCATTAATTTTCCGTTAAACGGAGGAATATCTTTCCTTTTGATAATTTCAATAAAACCATATGAATAGCACATAAATTTGACATGTGAAAGGTACAGTGTTTTCACAAATTAAACATTAAAAATGGTATATTTCGTTAAATTCGTTACGTTAATCACATTGACATTCAGTTGTCTGAAATAATCTATATAAAACCAAATACCTGAATTCTTCGCTATTTGACAATGGTTATCGTGATATACCTTTATTCTTTTCATACGACAAAAATCTTTATCACTCTATGTCAAAGTATGAAAAATAACAGTTGAACTATTCTGTTTATGTCTGAACATTTGCACCATTAAGATATTCATAGTTATCGGTCAGTAAAGAGTACTCAAAGTCATGTTCTTTAGTATTGTGTTCCTATTAAAGTTTCCTGATTGAATTACTATTGGATCACTTATATGAAATGAAATAACACTCCAAACTCTTGGTATTATGAATGAATTACATTCTTTCTATTTTTTTAACTTACTTTGACGAAATGTTGCATTATTCACACGAAAAGTATTGAGTGAACTTTGAGGTCTTGAATTAGGGAAATGATTTTCTATCATTCCTGTATCGGTACTACATCCATGACCACTATCCATACTTTCTATATCTTCTGTTATCTAAAAAAACAAAATAAAGTTTATTATCAAAAAAGCATAATGTTTTATAATGAATATAGTTACCAAGAGCTATTCATTGTATATTTACATTTTACATAACTTAAAATGGAAATAATTAGAAACAAACAAACAAACAAACAACACAAACTTAATATTACTTTTCTTATACAAAATTTGTTATAATAATAATTAGTCCTTCAATGCTAAATCATATGTTACCTATTTAGATATTCATAACTAATGCATGATTGACATTTTATTAAAGATTGAATAAGAATAAAATGTAATAAAACATTAAAGTAGAATAATTAATTAAAACCTACTGTATTTTTATATTATTATTATTATTATCATTGAGTGACAAGTAAGCCACAGTACTATTGGATTGATTTATTAATGCAAAATTAGATTTGAAAAATCAAATTATTTCACCACTTATCAGTCAGTAGATAACCTGTAAGCTTTTTTTTTAAAAAAAACTTATTATGTCTTGTATAGTTTATAACATTTTAAATATTGTGTGATTTCAGTGGCCCAGGATCTGATTCCAGTTTGATCGTTTTTTTGATTGCTATTGAGATATACATATCATCATTCCTTGTATATAATTATCAACTTAGATCGCATTAGTGAATAATGGAATTGAATAAGTCAAATATGAGAATGGATTTTGAATAGGTATATTTCATACACTCATTGATTTGAACAGGTAATCAAGGAATGAAGTGAAGAGAAGAGAGTGAAGCGAAATGATGCGCGATAGAAAAGGCATGTGAGCCAACTTCCTTTTTAACCAAGCGTTAATCAATATTTGTTGTCACACAAAATGAAGCTAAAAAACATGTGATGAATGGGATAAGAAGGGCACACATATATGTGCTTATATAAAAACAGCCAAGATTAATAAGCGAATAATTAACAAGGTCAAAATGTGACTCAAGTAGAATGAATAGATTGACCTGTCCGAAAGCTAGAATAAAGTGCATGGGCTTAACATAACAACCGACACTACATGATTACTCTTATCACATAGATTGAATTGGTGATTTTTTTCTCTCTTGATTGATTCTATTTAGTTTATTGCCATGATATTAGAATAAAAAGCTAAAGCCAGGTAAGATATTCAAAGTACTGAAGGTATGGCTTAGTTGTCTTGAACGAAATTAATATTTTTATTAAAAGATAAATGCTTCAATGATCCAGATCAACTTAAAGAGCTTGCATCTGTTGAGCTGAAAATTTGTTTAAAAAATGGAGGATTGGAATGCTTCAAAGAAAAGCAACCGAGTCTTACCACAGTTCGAATTTAATTGATTTTGATGTATATCTTCATTTTTATATTCAAAAAACAACTGAATGCTATGCAGAAGGGTCAGTAGGCTTTATGTTTTCTGGTATTGATTTTTACTTCATTTCTTTACTCGTTTGGAAATATATTTATTAAATTATAATCATTTGACTTTATTGGTGTAATAACACAGTAATGAAACGTATGTTATTGATTAATTTACCATAATTACGTGTTAAAAGTTTAATGTTTTCTTTGGTTTACTTCTATGGTACTTTATGAATGTTATTTAGATATTCCTTAACAGAAACAACTTTATGCTGTTTAAAAGGCAAACAGAATCTGAACCACCTAGTCAGATAATTACAGAATGATATTAAAAGCCCTGTACTCAAGTTTTCCAATTAGTGTGACCAACAGGATTTATACGGTAATAGGAAACGGATTTAAATTGATAGTAGACGAATTGACAATAAATAAAACTGCTACCTATGTCAGAATTCAAAGCTTGACATTTGACTTTATTGAACCTACCTTATAAAACAAATAATTTTCTTATAAACCGATTTTCATTGCAGTGATTGTTAAGTAAATTTAACAATTTATAACTAAAACGAATAGCATATTGAGTAAGTGTTATTCTGGACAAATGTATACCAGAGATTTCCATAATATAATTGAAGGTCTCACTGAGCAATTGTTACACTGAATAAATAGTTTCACTTTTGATGGTTTCATATCACCTATTAAAAATATTACTTGGATTAAATGCGCTAAAATGATGCAACAAATAATATAAGAAGTTCAGGTATAACCTATTGGTTGGACAATTTACTAAGAAAACATGAATACTACTACTAAGTAGTCAGATTTTATTTCACGTAAAAGCTATTATTTCTAGTATGTAATAAAGATTATTTTGTTTGAGGATATTCTAATTATATCTGTTAATTTTTCAATACTTGAAAACTTGAAATTTCTGTGCGAAAATACATGCCAAATATAGACAGTTAATTAGTAATTTAGTCATTGCAAATGCAATAAACATATAGATTGCAAAATGGTCGAAATAATCATTCTATCTTATTGGCTAGTTTCTCTAGCACAAAGTTCCTAATCACTAAAATTGTAAAAATTATATTTGAAGCAATGGATCAAGATTATTTTGAAATTTGATATATTACTACTGAAAATTCGAAAAATTTCATCTCATATGAGTTCGATGCATTGTTTTCAGTAAAGAACTGTGAGTTAAAATCCTGGATGTTGAAATACGTTTTCAAAGATTACCTAATTAAAAGGATTGTTTTTTTTCCTTGGATGGAATCAGAACGGGCTACAGCATAATGAATCTGACAACTGAAGTGAGCTAAAACTTGAGAATATATGGGTTTTTGATAAGAAAAATAATGTTAAGTTTATATCAAACAATATATAAAAGGTCTGTTCAGGTAGAGAACTCATCATCAAATCAATTATATTATTAAACCAATGAAACTACCACCAAATGTCGTTACAGAAATAGAAAGTGATTTCGAAATTTGAAGTTCCATGGATGTTTGCACCAAAAAACTACTATTTAGAGCTTATAATTTGTGGGTTTGTGCCCCCTATCAATGTATAACTTAGTGAAGCCGCCAATTAGAAGACAGTAATTTATCAACCTGTTCAATGACGCATCAAACCCGTATGAGCAGTCTAGGGTCCTTATTGGTCCTTCTTCCTACCTAACCCTGTCTTTTAAGTCCAAAACACCAGTCCCAGCTTCCGCGATATGAATTATTGATGTCAAACATACTGAGTTTATATACCAACCAGACAGACCAAATCATACCATAAAATAGGAAACAACATTTGTACAAGATTTAGCCAAAATGTGGCAGTGAATATGGGAGATAGTAATCAATAGACTGGGCATAACTCGAGAACGGTAAATCGTATAATACTAGTCTATGAGTCAAAATAAAGCTTATGATAAAAGAAAAACGAATATGGATAGTTTAATTGTTTAACAATTATATGATAAAAATATACGTAAAGTATTAATCGAGAAATAGATGTCTACAGTTACCATTCATTATATATAACATAGAGTAATCATAAACGGAAGAATTTTGAATGCTCAATTGATAATGTACAACTATATCGACAGCATGTTTACGACCTTAAACATGATCAAACAGTCATGAATTAATTCAGATACTCTAAACAGTTAAATGAATTACATATAATATAATTTTTTAAAGTTAGTTCTCATAAAATTATTTTTCCATAAATACTTATTTTGTCATTAATGTGAAAAAAGTCTTTACTTTCACAGTGATCCCTATATTTTTTTTCTCAAGATGAACATTAAATACTAGCAAGATATTTATTTATCATTTATTGGATAATAAACATAAGAATAGTCACTTAGTAGAAAATTAAACTGAACTCTAGCATTATTATATATCTATATACTTCTATTATTAGATATAAACCTTCCTTACATATAGTAAATATATCAAAAAGTCAGTTTGTCAATAAAAATAGAAGAATGTACATATAAACAATTATCCATATGATACAATTTTATTTCTATACAATATTCAAATAAAAATTATTAACGAAATTAATTTTTCTTTTTTTTTTAAAAAAAAACTTTTTATTACTTTTCTTTATCTTTTTCTTTTTTTTGTAAAAAAGGAAAAAAACTTCAGATCATGATAAATAAACCGATTATTGATTATTTTTATTTAGTTTGATTTATGAAAAATATTTTTATTCAGTATTTTTTTATTTTTTTTATTTGTAAACAAAAATAATCATAATGTGAGAAAATTTAAAAAGAGATAAATTTCAGTTTTTCACTTTTTTTCTTTCTTTTTTTTCCTTTTTTTCGTTAAATTTAATTTTTCATTAGTGTGTTTGTGTGTTTAATAACTGATAATGAGAAATTTATCAGCTACTTAAAAAATTTTTTATTTTTGAAACTAATTTTCTATTTTACAAATCAGTGAGTTTCTATAGTGAAAAAATGGAATTTTTATGATTTATTTATACTTATATGTATATATATATGGTTTTTTCCTTTCACTTTTTTCCCAAAGTTCTCTGTTAAAGAAAAACAACGACAAACAATATTTCATAATTTTAAATGATTCAAGCTAATCATTCATATGTGTTTATTTGAAGAAGAAGAAGAAGAAGAGGAAGAAAGAAAAGTGGGGGAAAGAATTTTATCTTCATATTTGTTTATATTAAATATCTTTTTTTCATTTTGATAGTTAACAAATGAGTGTGACTATTTCAATTTGTTTAACTATTTCTTTGTAGCACTTTTAACACTTGATATTGATGAATGTCAAGTTATATCATTAATTGATGTTAGTCAAAAAAATATATTGGGCTATCCATTAATTTTTGTAGCTAAAGAAACCGATATATTGTGTTGATGGTAACCTTATTTGTTACTATGCATTTTATTTTCTCATGTAAGGAATTAGGCATTAAAGTCGATAAATCTAATCAAATTACACGTAATCATTATTTTTTTTACCAAACTCTGAATTAGTGGAAAATGAAATTTTATACATTGAGGTTTGGAAAATGATTAATGAAACTAAATGTTTCATATAGTTCATGAATAACTTCATTATTATTCAGTAGCCAGAACCAGTGTTGTGATTGTTAGAACTTACTGATTTTTAGCGGTATCTTCAATAATAGAACTAATTAACTAAGTGTAAATGAATAAGACCAGCATATGCAGATTTGGTATTTCACTTCTATCTTTTTTTTAGTTTCTGGGATTGTAAATTTTACTTTACTTCATATAGCATACTTCACATAAAAGAACGAGACTGATCATGATGCCTAATGGTATCGTTTACCAATAAATTGTTTTCACTGATCATAAATATTATGTTTGTCCAGTCCTTAGAACTGGTCAAATAGTATGAAACAAGTTATAATGTAGCCATTAGTTTAATTGACATTGTGTTTTTATGTTAGGTTGTTAAGTGCGATTGGTAGGAAGTCTTAGATTTAAGATTCGTAATGGTTAACACTCGTCATCAATATTTGTCTGTAATCATGAGAGAAATAACTCTTTGTTGTACTCTAGTCACGAAGAAGAAAATGTTTCACCCACTCAGGGAATTACTCTGACGCTGTCCAACAAAGCACGGAAAGCACTTATCCAATGGGAATCTCATGGATCCAGGATCATCAAAGCATCCTTCAAACACAAAGAAGGAGGGAATCACAATGAATGCGATCCAGTGTTGTGCACTCACCGATGATAGCAAAGACGAAGATAAATATCAATTTTATCAAAAGCTGCAGTCGATCGTACAAAAGTGCCCAAACAACAACCTGATCATTCTGATGAGAGACCTAAACGTCAAGGTCGAAATGAACAACACTGGGTATCAAAGTATGATGGGATGACATGGGTTAACTGGGAGAAACGAACGAGAATGGTAAGAGATTTGCAAATTTATGTGCATTCAGCAAAATTGTCATAGGTAGGACAATATTCCCACGCAAACGCATACACAAAGCTACATGGGTCTCACTAGACCACACTACAAAGAACTGAATAGATCATATTTGCATGGGCAAAAATTTCACAAGGTCGACGAAAGATGTGTAAACCAAGAGGAAAGCTGATATAGCATCAGATCACCACCAACTGGTGGTTTCCAAGATGAATCTGAAGCTAAAGTAACACTGGACAACTGGCTAGACAGCGTTACAAAGGTTCAAGAAAGACTTCGTCCAAGATACTGACAAACTCAACGAATTCAAGACAGCTTTCAACAACAGGTTCCAAGCCTTACAGGATCCAATAAAAGAAGAAACTACTATAGAGGAAAACTGAAAAGGGATCAAAGAAGCACTCGTTTTAACGTTTCAGGAGACGCTGGGCTGCAATAACCATCATCATAAAAAATGGATATCTATCGAAACCCTAAACAAGATTCAAGAAAGAAATAACGAGAAGATAGCAACTAGCAACAGCCAAACAAGAGCAGTGAAAGTTAAGGCACAAGCTGAAGACATAGAAGTAAACAAGCAATTGAAGAGAAACATTAGAACCGATAAGCAGAAATACATGTAGGACCTAGCAATGACAGCGGAAAGAGCTGCTTGACAAGAAAATATCAGTCAACTATATGACACGGAGAAGAAACTGACAGTGAAATATTGTAAACCGGAGACCAATCAAGGATAGAGAAGGCAAGACAATCACTGAGATTCACGAACAGAGGAACAGATGGGTAGAACGCTATGAGGAACTCTTGAACATGTCATCTCCATTGGATCCACCGGACATCGAATCAGCACACACAGACCTTCCTATAGATGTCACTCCACCAACGACGGAAGAAATCAGGATGGCTATCAGACAAATCAAGTGTGGGAAAGCAGCAGAATCTGAAAATATAAAAGCTGAAGCTCTGAAGTCAGACGTAGAAGCAAATGCAAAAGTGTTCCCCGTTCTATATAGGAATATTCGGGAATAGGAACATGTGCTGACAGACTGGAAAGAAGAACATTTCATCAAGATACCGAAGAAAGGAGATCTGTGCAAATGCGAGAAATACAGAGGCACCACACTACTGTTTGTACAAGGAAATGTTTTCAACAGCGATGAAAGATTCGATAGACGCCCAGCCTTGAGATCAACAAGTCAAATTCCGTAAGGATCGATCGCGCACAGAACAAACTGCGACACTACAGAAAATCGTTAAACAATCAATTGAATGGAACTCGTCACTATACATCAATTCCCTTAGTTATGAGAAAGTGCTTGACAATATTGATAAGAGCGTCTTGTGAAACCTCATTTTACACTATAGTGTACCTGAGAAGATCATCAACACCAACCGGAATTCATACAAAATCGTGAATGGAGGACAGCTAACAGATGCATTCCAAGTGAGGACCCGTGTCAGACAAGGTTTCTTACTATCGTCTCTTTTCTTTTCTCTGGTGGTTGACTGGATTATAAAAACTTCGACATACGAGGGGAAACGTGGAATACAATAGACATTCATGGGTAAGTTCACATTTTGTTATTCCAAGAAAAGCAATTAACTTTACACTTTAAATATTTTTTTAAATTTTATTTTCCTTGACCACTGCCAACAACAATTTACTAGTAAAGATCTTTCAGTTGCAAAATTAAAAATAATAATGTAATAGAAGTATTCTAACAAATAGATAAAACTAACCATCCTACTCTTTTAACTTACTTCATTGGGTGAAGTTAAATTTCTTATAGAACCAGGATCTCTATACGATGGTGAATTAATACGTAGATCTGAAATTTGTGAAGAACCTGCTTTAAAAGTTGAACAAGTCTGATTTTGTTGCCTGAGTGTTGGACATGCTCCCATCAATAATTTCAATTCATGATCAGGAGAATCTTCAATAAAAATTAAATAAAAACTTGCTTATTATTGTATAAAAAAGTGTCTAATATGTATACTCATAGTTCTCGTTACATAATAAAAATTTAATAGTGAAAATCTAGAAATTAAAAGGATTGTAAATTCATCCCATTATATTGTTAGATTTTCTCAAAGCCCAAAATGCAACAGATTGTTTTCATATAAATAAACTGTTATTTTAAACCAATATAAAATAGGTCTCTTATATTGGTAATTAACAAAATACTGTATTAATTACTGTCGAATTCTTGGTTAAATATATATACACACTAAAACAACTGATGGTTAAAGCATTGTCATTAATTTAAGAACCTACGAACTGTCATAAGAACTGTTTAAAACCACCAGTCCTTTTCTGGAGGCAAAGACAGACTTTTTTTCGTGTAGTGCACCCTGAATAGTGGGTGATCTTTTTCTTCATAAACTAACTCAAGCGGCACGGCGGAGACTGAACTGATTAACCTCTCTTCAATATCTATCGAAATTTATCAAAGGGACTAATTGTTTTAATATGAATAGGTTAAATAAAATAATGATTTTTTCACACCTTTTCGATGGGGTTTATAAACTGTATTGACAGAATTTTCCTTCACATAAGAAAGAAATATCTTATTGATGACAGACGTTATATATCCATATAATTTACTTGTAATTACTAATACATATATGCGGTAATTTTGTTAAAATATAAATGATACAGTGACAAAGCATAATCAACAATAACGACTGCTATTACATAACGTTTGTTTGTATATACAGTTACTTGATTACGTTAATAACCTTATAATTAAATGTAATAATGTATGCTTAAAGATTGATTGATAGTCTCTTCTGATATATATATATATCTTAGAAAAGTTTGAAAAATATAGATAATCAATGTCAGTATATAGTATGACCACGATGTTTTCTCTATTTTATGCATCTATATAAATATTAGTCTCACTCTCTGATGGAATGAAGGATAGGGTATATGATTCGTATTATATAATCCTATTCTTTCCTCTTGCTCATACGAAGAAGCATGAATACATAAATAAATGAAACATTTATGTATGTATCATAATGCCTTTTCTCCTTTTGTCGATTAACTTCCTTTTGCATAATACAAATCACATCGTATTTATAAGTTTGAAAAGTAAATTGTTACAAATATGCTTATAAATTATGAGACTTAATTAATTAATCTGTTAAATCTGACGAACATATGTTCATTTATAGTTGTTATTCAGGCAAATATCATCTTGAAGCTGCTTACTGGGATTGTTGATGTTAAAATAATCTTAGTGATTAATGTCATGCCAGAGAAGTTATCGAAAAATTCAATATGTTTATAGGTAAAGGTACTAGGTGGATACAGCAGTTCAAGTAAGTGAGATTGAAACTAAAATCAGGGGAAAATCAGGTGAGAAAGACCAATTTGTTGTTGAATGCCCAGTTAAACAATGGTTTAGTAAAAGTTGAAAATTCTACATCAAATACATCATTTGCGCACCTTCCTTAAGATTGTCTCTTAAACGCTTCGTTGTTCCTTCATTCCTGCTACTTTCTTGATTGCTTTCAGTTTTCTTCTCTCTCCTCTTCTTTTCAATCTTCTTAATCTTCTACTTCTAGACATTTTACTTCCGACTGGTATTACATACCACTTATATCTGCAAACATAAGTAGTTTTCACTACGCTACAACTGCTTCAACTGATACTATTAATACTAATGCTATTAATATTATTATAATTAGTAGTATAATAAATGTAAGTTGTCTTGAGTAGTAGTAAACTAAAAGAGTTAGAAAATCTAAGCAGCATGTTAAATTGATCAGTCTAAGCTTTCAGAGGCAAAATTAATCTTCATTCATCTACTAACCAAAGCATCTTCTTACAGATCTTGATTCATACTGTTTACTTATTTACTTTGAAATTTGTGTAAACTTCAAGATTTCTTTACTTTTAAAAATAAATTTTAATGGTGAATCTGGACAAAAACTAGTCGTTTCATTAATAAGATTAAAAATCTACTATTGTTGTTATCATTACCATCAAAATTATCGTGTTAAGTTGTTCTTTACACATACCATCCACTAGTTAGCTAAATCTAAACAATCAATCAACTAACCAGCTATCTTTATATACATAAATAAACAACATCTTTTTAATATCAACCTTTAGGATAGTTACGAACTTACTGAAATAATAAAAAAATGATAAATAATAATAATTTTACCGATTGAAAACTAACCTGACAGTAAAAAATGAAAGTATACCAATTCAATCACATAGACTAGAGAGTATTCTCACTACCTTTTTTTGTTTTGTTTTGAAAGGGACATTGATGAAATTGGCGTCACTATTCCTTTAACTTTTAAATTATTTAAGAGCTATCATAAAACACGGATTATTACGATACTATTGCAAATGAATGGTCTATTATTTAATGGTTTGTTTTAAAAATGTATATTATTTCCATTTATGTTAATGAGTTTTAGTAATTATTTTAGTAAGAACCAAATTAATGTAAAATAGACTTATTCTTATGATTATTGGATATATAGTTGATAAGATATGAGTGATGATAGACTAGAAAGAAGAAAAAAACATTAATATCACAAAAGAGTTCTGTTTTAGATTGTCAGTGTAACGATTGAACATTATGAAAATCATAATTATTTCAACGAATGATATCAAAAATTTCATTTGAAGAAGTACCTTCAAGAAGTATATGAATATTTTACGGTAATTAAATATCAATAAAATTCCCTATTAAAACTGGTGATAATAACTTACTTTTAGTCGATCCAGTATCAAGAAAGCGTTCTTCAACAGGTTTTAAACGACAGATTGTTCCCGTCTGACTGGCTCGTTTCAAAGTAGATAAGTCATTTAATTTTGTAGGTGAAGGATGAAATGGATGTGTTGAGTTGAACAGTTTATGGGATCGTAATGTATCAGGCTTTTTCGGATCCACTGCAGCCATCATCCACTGATTTTTCTCTGCATTTGATAAAAAGCTTCTTATCATTTTATCCGAATCTGTAGATTGAGGTGGGTGATGAAGATGATTTGGTGAAGGAAAAGTATTTAAACCGCCTTCACCCAATAAATGTTCAGCTCCTGGTGAAAGCAAACCATCAACTTCAAGCATTCCAGAATCTCTAAAGACTTCTTCAAGATGATGTGTATGATTGAGGCTCTGTCTATAAAATCTTGGATTATTTTGTTCACATTGTGTTGTATTTCGTTGAGTACATGCACCACAGCGTAGAAATAAAATAGCTAATATGAGTATTAACGATATTATCAGTGTTACAGCGACCATAATTACAATTACAATCAGATCATTTTCTAAATAGGTTCCATGTCCAACAACTATGTTCTTCTGTCTATCATGTTCACTGACTCCAACATTGTCACCGTCATTTTCACTCAATAAATAGGCACTTGCTTGTGATAAATAACGAAAAATATCAATTTGTAAAACCCTATGATTAACTTTAGCTGGATGACCACGATCACTTGCTTCTAATACTAATTTGATCGATCCAACATCATCTATGTTCATTGATCGACCAACATAAATTGCACCACTTATGGAATCCAGTTCAAACAAGTTACCAACATTATGTGATGGGACATATCTCATGTCTGTTTTTGGGACAATTTGTACATTACTATTAATAGTATTATCTAAACGTGTTGATGGGCTGGTCATTATTGTCCTATCTACTACATTAGGCATATTGGACATAAAACTAGTTTGAACAAGTCGATAAATAACTTCACCATTTTCATTTTCATCTAGATCCTCAGCAATTAATTGAGCTACACGATAACCAACTGGTTCATTAATGGTTAAATTTATAATCTGATGATTATGCGCTGGAAATATCCATTGTGGTGAATTATCATTAACATCGATCAAATGTATATGAACCTGTGTCGAAGATGATAATGTAGGGAGTCCAGAATCCATAGCAACTAAGTAGAAATTGTAAGCTGGTATTTTTTCTCTATCCAAATTACCACGTGCCACATAAATATAACCCTTAGTTGATACACGAAATTCATGAATTACTTGACCTTCTATTTGTGGTTTAATGACGTAATGTATCTGTGGGAAAGGTGAAGAAGAAATAAAAATTATTCCATATATTTACTGAGTATTTGAATGTAAACTAATTAAATGATACTAAATTGTTTTTTAAGGATTGTTTTAACAGAAAGTGGATATTAACTTAAGAAGTATTAAAAATTAAGACTTTTGTCTCTACCATACTATAACCCATCAAGATTCTAGGTTCAATATAGAGGTAACTATAAGCTGTACATTTTAATGTTGTTACAGGTTTGTACAGAAATCTATTTTTATACATATCAAATTTCTTCAGTGTACTAATTCTATACCTAAAGTCAAGAGGTCTAATCAAATACTACAAACAACTTGGTTAATGTAATGAATAAACGAACCACTATTTTCTCAATACTAAATATCGTCAAGTCAAGACCGTTACACCTGTCTAATAATTACTAATTCATTTTCTTACAAAAGACTAGTCCATAATGTACGACAGCTTAAAATATATTCGAAAATGAGATTATTTATTAAATAAAATTCAAAGAGAAAAAATCATTAAGTAACTATATGTTTCCAGTGCTATCAGTTTTACTTAAGCTGCATTCATGCTATGATGAGGACAAGATAGATTAAACTGAAAATTTCTAGTCACTATAGCTGTTTAAAACATGCTAAAAATTCACTTTGTAACCAATGCATTTTATAAAAATGATAGGGGGGGGGCATATTGTGTTGAACTCTATTAATTGTCAGATATAAACAGTTTCGTTGTGTTTACTAATCAAAACTCATATTATAGCTTAGTTTGAATTATTGTCCAAGTATTTAAGTATGTACCAAAGAATGAATAAAGTAAAAACTGAATTAAACAATCTGTGTTTTAGCTAAATGTTTCCATATTTTGGTAGAAATATTTTGAATGCAGTATTAGGAAAAAGAATTAAACATTTAAATAATATTACATAAAGATGTCTACTGAATTATTCATTTTAAACGCATGTCATACAGTAAGTAACACTGATTCATAATTAAAAGTTATAAACATTAAGTTCAGAGAATGGATCTTTTTTCAACGAATTTATTACCAAGCTGTACAATAGTATATATATAAATATATAAATTTCTTCGTATTACGTAATCTAGTATTATAATTTTTCTATTGCGTCATCTTGGTTATTCGTGTTTACATTTCTTCACGGAACTAGTACTTTAACAAAAATTTTCATATATATATATATATATATATATATATATATATATATATATATATATATATATATATATATATACGACTGTATAGTTTGATAATAAATTCGTTGAAAAGTAATCCCTTCGTTGAGCTTCGTGTTTCTAAAAATGATATCAATTACTATTTTGGTATAATCGAACAATTTTTGTCATTAACTAATAAAAATTAACTTTTCGTGTATTTCTACTTGTAATTGCTTAATTGTTTCATTTACTAGGAATGTTTTCTGTTCTCTTTTTTCTTAGACATTCTGTAAAAGGCTTCAATGAAAACATCATTACTGGTTTAAGCATTGATAATATAAAATTCATAGTGAAACTATTGTGAAAACATAAAGTATCGTTTCTCCCTTTTTATAAATTTTATTATTCATAACTGAAAAATAATTCAATCAAAAAAAATCTATAAAACTAGACTTCATTATTCTTTTTTGTGTGGTAAATCAATCATTAATGTATGTATCTAACTAGATAAACAAATGAACAAAATATCAGTTTTTCAATGGTTTCTAGTAGCATAAAACTGTCTAATTAAATAGTTGATTAAACAGATAAAATCATTTGAATCAAGAATGTGAAAAATAAATCCTTTTTTATCTTTTTTTTGGAACTTTTTTTGTATGTGATAATCAAGAGATGAATTTCTTCAAATTATATATTTTCAGGAGGAGTTTTGTGGAGATTTTAGAAATTTCACTGATTGACTTCAAGAGATACTCCTGGAGTTCTAGTGAGAAGCCGTTTCCAGTGGAGTTCAACCAGGTCTGTTGTGAGATATCCACTCACTGAAGACAATGGTGTACGGTGGCACAACTTCCTGAATTGGTTGAAGTTAGACATTAACACCATTGGATGCCGGCTCAGTGGTCTAGTTGGTTAAGCGCCTGGCGCGAAACCGGGAGGTCCTAGGTTCGAGTTCCGCGGTGTGCGGGATCGTGTGTGTGCGCTGCTGAGGAGTCCTATACTGGGGCGAATCGGCCGTCAAGTGCTTCCAGGTTTTCCATGGTGGTCTAGCTTCAATTGACTCATGATTTCAGTCAGTGAAATTACATATTTCTTAGTAAAAATAAAGAAAAATATATGCCGAAAGTTTATTTAATAGTTAAGATCATGAGTCAATTGAAGTTAGATTACCATGAAAAGCCTAGAAGCATTAGACAGCTATTTCGTTCTATTGTGAGATTCTTCAACAGTGTGCATCCACGATCGTCCATTGTTTCCAATTGAATTTCAATTGACTCTTAACTACTAAATTACTATAATTGTAGTGAACAAGAACTGGAGTGGGGACAACCGAATGTATTTAAACACGAAATTACAGAATATCTCACTAAAATCTGAGAACCATACAGTAAATACTTAATTTACATAATATCAATCCATTATCTTACACTTGACTTTTTTGCAAATATCGGTCCATCGTCTCAGATTTTATTGTTCTTGCATTTACATATCAATTGCTTTCCGTCCTAGTTCTTCCCTTCTTGATCTCAATGTTCTCCTACTAGACATTATATTCCTGGCACTCATTATATACTACTTATGTCCATATAAGTAACTTACACCACATTATATACACAAAATCCCTTTTTCATATACTGAAAGTTTACGAGTTTTCATTTTGTGATAAAACTAATAATGTAAGTTAGAAAATTTCCATAACAACTAAAAATTTCTTTTTCAATTGGTGTGAGTGTGTATCGAAATAATTCGTTTATGATATACAAACGAAAAGTTTTTTAGAAGCGATTCCAATCAATAGTTATTGAATGATTACTGAAAATAAGGTAACATTGGATATCACTTTTTAATTTTTAATTTTATTTTAAAAGAAAATTGAACATTCTTGACTGCTCTAGTGTATTTACTAGTGAGTATAGACTGAGTGTTATCAATGAGAACATTCGGATGTTTAAAAAATAGAGATAAATGATGCAATAAAAATGAATGAATTAAGAGTAATTTAAACAAACTACAAAAAAAATTTATTCAGTTCTTTAAACTATACAAGTTGTAATTTTTAGTGCGTGATAAGTTCATTCTGCTTTTCAATTTATAAGAAAAGTGTATCATTTAAATATTCGTAGGCCTATTCTTTATTAATATGTGCGCCCAAAATGCCCTGGTACGGCCGAGAGTGGGGAGAGTTCACTCTCCCTCTCCAAATGCTCTCACATGGTCACGCGTATATAGCCTCTGCCAGGGAAGTCCCACTCACTGCCTTCTCATGGCGGGGGTGTTGTTTACAAAATCGAGGGGACGAAAAGCGAATGTCCGGCACTTTAACCGGGTTGGTGGACATGGAGAGTCCACATAGGGGAGTTGGAAAACCCTGATTCCAAACCAATGGTGCACATGGGCTCCAGTATCCTGAAGGAACAAATGGCGTATGAACCAATTGATGGTCACCGGTTGCCATGGGACTGCGTCTCCTTACGTTACTCCATTGCCTTGTGGACCAGACCTTCAGGTCGAAGGCTCGAGGAGTGGCCCCCTAAGGAAACCACCTGCTTCGGTTTGGGCACTCGGGCAGTATCACAGCCCTCACACATATCGAATGAGATTTGTGTGGCGCCTATGTATTTGGTGCCTCTTTGTACCAATATCTATGTGTTAAAATAGATAAATAAATATGGTCTGTAATTTATGTAAATTTATTTACTAATTGATAGCGTTAGTGTAAGTTTTTTTAATATTTTAAATACCACCATTTAACTATTCTTAATGACTAAATAAGAAACGTGAAATTAGATTGACAAATTGGTTAGATACTCGAACCGATTGCCTATGAGTAAAGATTTAAAAAAAGTTTAAGTGTAAGCAAGGAATTACAAATCTTGTAAATGTTAGAAATATTTGATAGCAATAAACAAAAATAAAAGAGGGTACGTTTGAGGTAAATTTTATGGTCAAGATAAAGAGAAAGGTTGTACATAATTTTTTCTGATTACAGAGGTTAGGTTTATTTAAACGAATTTCTATAGGTTCGACTATGTGTAAGAGATGACTTCTGGAAGCATTAGGTAAATTGAATGTTATTTTATATTGTAATTTTGAATGGTACATTCGCATTAACTTGACGAGTCGAATCGACTAAAATTGCAGGGGTAGATCTTTTTACTATTCTTCTTTCTACTTAGTTCGCCCATGAAGTCTAATATTCTGAAGTACGATGGTGGACTTGTCTCATAGTGCTCTCAGTGTAACTGGCTTTACTCCAGAGGCGAAACTGATAAATACACATTGAAGTAAAGGAATATATAAGTTTACTGTTGTTTCAAGTGATAAATATTGGTTGGTCAAATAAAAAACAAATTAATCTAGCTCTACTCAAAGATCTACTCACACAACAAGTGAAAGACTGATTGAACGTCATCTTTGGATTGCAATATAATGACCATACGTTTTTTGATGTTGTTGACAACCTTGGTTTGGTTTCCGCTCTAGACATATGTTCTGTCTAGAATGCTCTTTTGCTTGGTAGCTTACAGATGATCCTAAGCTCCTCTGAGACAGATTTTTTGAGGGGATAACATTAACTCTGTGAGCCAGAAAATCACCTAGTTTTTATACTATGAAACGAGGTCGAAATGCAAAATTGTACAATAATAATACTGAGACGAGATGTGGAGTAAAATGAAATGAAGTTTCTCCACGCCTAAGTCATACTTTTTATGAATAATTATTTTTAACAGAATAGGTCTAGATAGCTAAAATTGTACTGGATTATTCAGTATAAGCCGCGTACATAAAAGTTTTAACTTAGTTTGTCAGTGAGATTCATAGAA